ATTGTAAGGACTCCCTTCTACACACACACACACACACACACACACACACACACATATTAACAAAATGAAGAGAGTACAAGCTTCAGAAAATTTCTTTTTTAATATGTGGGTTGCTATGGGGATGGGAGTGTGGCAGAATTGGAGAGGGGCTTGTGGAAGTGACTATAAATGAAGCTTAAGTAATTTTCAAGAACGTTTTCCTCTCTAAGTCAGGTTTGAGCAAGAGCAGCACGTTGGGCTCCCTTGGCTTGTGATGAACACATTTTTATGTTCACTTATTTAATAACTTCAGTGTGGTAGGTAATTGATCTACCATGGTGAACACATACCTGCCTGCCAGGGGTTGATGGTGAAATAAGACACCTTCATTAGCAAGTAGAGGCATAAGTAGGATACATAGTACCAAGCAAAGAACAGGGGCTATAAGAAGAATTCTATTTTATATTTGTTATTTATTTATATATTACATTTGTGATAGCATAAAAGGGAAAAACAGAGAGAGGCTTGGGGAAGGGAAGCTTTCTAAGGAAGCATTAGTAAACTGTGGTCATAAGAATGAGTGACAGTCCTGAGACATGCCTGAGGATGGAAATGGAGAGCAACAGCACTGCAAGGGTTAAGGAGTGGGAAAAAAGGTGCTACATTCTGGGGGCGCCTGGGTGGCTCAGTGGTTAGGCATCTGCCTTAGGCTTGGGTCGTGGTCCCAGGATCCTGGGGTCAAGTACCGCACTGGGCTCCCTGCTCGGAGGGAGGCCTGCTTCTCCCTCTCCCACTCCCCCTGCTTGTGTTCCTGCTCTTGCTGTCTCTCTCTTTGTCAAATAAATAAATAAAATAAAATTAAAAAAAGGTGCTACAGTCTGGGACTGAAAGCACAGGGAGCGTAGAATCTAGTGAATGAGATGAAGAGTGGGGAGTTGGGGTTGGAGTTGGAGGTGGTGCCTTGTGGCTTCATACCATGTGTATTCACATGTCTGTCCCTAGAAGATTGTTATTTCACTCCTAGAAGTCTCTTAAACTTGGATTTTCTGTGCCTCAATTACTTCTCTGAAATATGCATTGATAACTAGGGCACCTGTTTGGGAAAAGATGAACCTGCTTTGGGTAGAGACAATTACCAGGAAGGAATAAAAAATGATGTGTGCCAATAATCCCACTAAACCTTCAGGAATATATCCCTGTGTTGATACATGAGACCATTTGCCAGGGTCACCCACATAGGCTTTCTGTGCTTCCTGAAATACTTCCTTCCCTTGACTCCCATGACTCATGCCTTTTCTAGTTTCCTCCTGTGTTAACATTTGCTCCTTTTTCTCCTTTGCAAGCTCTTCACTGGCTCTGGAAAGATGGGAGTCCTTCACAGGTCAGCTCTCATTTTTGCTGGTTAGTGCCTATTTATCACTCAAATTTCATTCTAAGCATCAGTTCCGTGGTGAAGGGCTTTCCTGGTCTCCTTGACTAATCAAACCCGCTTGTGGACTGAACATTTGTGTCCCTCTAAAATTCATAAATTGAAGCCTTAATGTCCAATGTGATGGTATTTGGAGATGGGGAATTGGGACATAATTAGGTTTGGATGAGGTCATAAGAGTTGGGACCCCATGATGGGATTTGTGTCTTTTTAAGAAGAGGAAGATACCAGAGCTCTCTCTCTCTCTGCCATGTGAAGACACAGAGAAGGTGGCCATGTGCAAGCCAGGAAGAGAGTTTTCACCAGAACCTGACCATGCTGACACGCTGATAATGGACTTCCGGCCTCCAGAACTATAATAAATCTCTGTTGTTAAAGCTGCCCAGTCAGTCTGTGGTATTTTGTGGTGGCAGCCTGAGCTGACTGAGACACCCCCTCTTCCAGGCATGGCAACATTCTCCTGTCCTTCAGATGTCCTTATAGTCACGATTTTCGTTTAATTGGTGTGATTAATGGATTTCTTTCCAGGATTTAGCTCCATGAGTAAAAATGCTCATTTCCTAAGGTTCTTATCATAAGAACTAGCTTCATGTAATGTAGTCACACAGTCCCCATGCTCAGAAGGACCCCATGCTTGGTTTAATGCTCTGCGGTCACCATCTTGAAATTCTTAATGCTTTTTGAACAAGGGGACCTGCATTTTCCTTTTTCACTGACCTCACAAATTATGTAGCTAGTCCTGCTTATCTTTTTTTTATCTCGGCACTGAGCACAGTATCTGGCACATAGTAGATCCTCAATAAATATTAGTTGAATGAGTGGGTGAATGCATTAATAACTGACTGGCTGAATATAAAGTGCCAGAGCTAAGAATTATGGCTGGGTTTGTCTGACTCCAAAGCCTATGCATTTTCTGCCTCCCCATATACTGCTATTTGCACTTACATATGGAGCTGGGTTTGACTAAATCTGCCCAAGGACCTTCCTCTCTCACTTATTTTCCAAATTATTTTCTCCTGGGGCATCTCTGGGGTAGTGTTGCTGTGGCAGCATTCTCTGGCATAAACATCCCTCTGAGTCATAGAGCAATGCCATCACAAGGGGCCGGGACAGCTGCAGCTGTTAGGCATCTGTGAGTTACTTTGAGATGGCATGAAAAATATCTCCCGATTGGTTAAATCTACCTTACGTCCTGCCCCCGGATCTGTAGGATTGACGTTTCCAGAGGATACTTTTATATACATATGAAAATACACCACCTGCTGCTGAAAGGAATGGACCTTCTCAAACTCAATGAAGAGAATCTTTCACTTCAAAATTAATTCAGATTTTATCTGAAACTCTTTGACACCTCCCTAGTTATAGTTAATTAACAGGAGTAACATGAAGGGATTACACTTGGAATCAGGAAGTTGGGGCGGTCTGGGAGAATTGATTCAGTTTAGGTAAAGGAATTTGCTAATTGGCTTGCCTCCCCAAAACCAAGAGGTCTGTCTCCATGGTTAAGCGTGCAGTGAGATAGATTTGCAAAATCCTACCTTGAAGCAACCATCAAAGCTAAAAAGCTGGGGCCGCCTTTGGTGCAGTGCCCAGGGGGCAAATATTTAGCTCTTTCAGCATTCCAGAGATGAGCTCTGTGCGCATAAACCATCTTCAAATGGCAAGCTGGGGAGAGGTTCAGGCTCAAAGAGAATTAGCTGGTGTGCTTTCAGTCATGCATAAATCATACCCTGGGTGAGGGGCAAGGGGCAAGGGTTGCTGGGCAAATGGATCAGCTCCAGGAATAGCAAGGCCTAACATTCTTTAAATAAAAATCGGACCAGGGCTTTTTTTGTGAGATTGTGCTTTGCTGCATCAACAATGTCACTTACCCTATCATGGTCGTGCCACCTTTGCTTCAGTTTGTCCTCTTGGTATTATGATGCAGGGATGGCTAAAAAATCCCATCTACTTTGGGCTCCTTGAAAGGGTGGAGGGTATTATCTTTTGGATTGATAGGTTTAAATCGCTGATGGTTAGAATCTCAAGGAATCCTCAGTCTGCTTGGTAACTCTGTGTACCCTAAAAAAGTCTCAAGAGCTGTGTTTGAGGTCCACATGAGTCTCTGGGAGGTACAGAAAGGACACTGTAGCACATTCGTCCATCCCAGACAGATCAGGAACTCTCAAAGACCAATTCACTCTCTCTGATACCATCCCAAGAGAACGCTAGACCAGGAATATCTCCTACCAGCCACTCAGCTCTCATATAATAGTATTGATAATAATGGTAAAGGAATCACTAACACTTTTTTAGTGATCAAAATATACAGAAACTATTCTACATGTATAGACATTTTACATGTATTGATTGATTTACTTTATGCAACAGGTCTCTGAGATAGGTACTATTATTCCTCTCCTTTGACAGATGAGGAAACTGAGGCACAGAGAGTTATGTAGGGTCCCTCTGCCTAGGGAAGGGACTACAGTGGTTTTCCTCACCATATTTCAGGACTCTGTTGTAGGAGTTTGCAAAGGTGACTTGAAAAATAGGTTTCAACATAAGACATTTGGTGGGGATGCAAACATTCAGTCTACCGCAGTGTTAACCACTAGGCAGTTTTGTGTGGTAATTTTTAGGTATCTCCTTGTGAGGCCCAGACTACATTTATTCCTTTTTCTCTGACACTCAATAGAAATGTTGGATGACAAGTTTGAAGAAATCTTTCAGACAATATGTCAAAAAGAAAAAAAGAAAAATAGAGCAAATGTAACACCTGAACAATAATAAGAGTTATGATAAGAAAGAACAGAGAAAATGAAGGCAAGGAAAGCCTCAAAGAAATAATTCGAGAACATTTCACAGACTGAAGTATTTGAGCTTCTAGACTGAAAATATCCATCAAGCATCTTGGAAAATGTGTGTGTCTAGTCCCAGACCTTAACATCCACTGCTTACACTACCTCTTCTCTTGGATATCTTTGAGGCATCACCAACTCCACAAGTCAAAAATTGCACTCAGGGTGTTTCTTCCCTCAAATCTTGTTCTCTCTGTGCTCCGTATCTTGAGGAAGAGTATAGCCATCCATCTAGTTATACTGCTTAAAATTCCAGGAGTTTGGGGCACCTGGGTGGCTCAGTCGTTAAACGTCTGCCTTCGGCTCAGGTCATGATCTCAGGGTCCTGGGATAGAGCCCCACATCGGGATCCCTGCTCAGCGGGAAGCCTGCTTCTCCCTCTCCCATTCCCCCTGCTTGTGTTCCTACTCTCTCTGGCAAATAAATAAATAAAATCTTAAAAAAAAAAAAATTCCAGGAGTTTTCCTGACATCTCCCTCTCTCCTACTTTCTATATCCATTTCATCTCTAAGCCCAGTTGGTTTTACCTTCTGTCTTTCAGATCCATCTACTTGTCTTCACGTTTGACTTCACCTCTTGCCTGGATGATAGCAATAGTGTTCTCATCTCCCTCCATCCTCTCTTAACCTTCTCTAACCCCCCTCCCCCCGCCCTTTGCCCACCTTGTTACCTAGTTATCTTTTCTTTTCTTTTTTTTTTTTAATTTAAGTAATCTCTACACCCAACATGGGACTCAAACTCACAACCCTGACTTTTGCCTCGTTGCATCCGAGAGAGCAAGATGGGTCACCAGCAGCTGTACTGGAGCCATCCGAGGAAATTTGGCCAGGGTTCTCGTTCTTGCCGCGTCTGCTCAAACCGGCACAGTCTGATCCGGAAATACAGCCTCAGTATGTGCCGTCAGTGTTTCCGTCAGTACGCGAAGGATATAGGCTTCATTAAGTTGGATTAAGTGAACTTCCTTGAATTGGTCATCCAAGATAACCTACCTTAACTGCAGATATCCAAGATACCTACTTTAATGCCTACTCATTGTACATAAAATAAAAATACTTCAATTATGAAAAAAAAAAAAACCTCACAACCCTGAGACCAAGAGTCACATGCTCTTCCAACTGACCCAGGCACCCCTCTAGCTTTTTTTTTTTTTTTTTTTTTTTCAAAAAACAAATCTGATCATGTCTTTCCTCTGCTCTGACCCAGAATGGAGATTCTTTGGTGAGACTTAAAATATGTAAGAGTTGCACTTCCTTTTCTGGAACAGTTGGTTTCTTCAGGGGTTCACATAAGCTGTGATCAAAATGCCTCTATCGTATGCTCTGCTAAACACTGAGAGAAACACGAGACTAAGGCTCAGAATTGGTTGGATAACTGAAGAAGAGCAGCTAAAGGGAGGACCAGACGCAGGAGTTGGATTGGCTGTTATTTTAGGTTGCACTTGATAAGAAATAAAGACCATGGGTAGCCCTTTGCCTGGTCTCTATGTCTTGGTGTCCTGACATTTTATTTCATCATAATTACAAAGAATCAAAGTGAGGTTTGACCCAGCAAAGAAAAGCATCCCTAAGTTTTGGAGACCCAGTGACAGCTTCCCATTGTTCTTTATGTAAATATAAAGATGTTTGGCCCTACCTACTTCTAACTAAAGCTCAGCCAGCCTGCCCTCACTGTTTCAGTCTCTGTCCCTCACTGTGCCCCTGCCACCCCAGGACTTCTATTCATGCTGTTCCCTCTGTCTGGAATGCAGTTCCCTGCTCTCTCTACTTGGTTAACTCCTACTCATCCAACTCTCAGCCCTATCAGCAACTTCCCTGACAAAATCAAATGCCTTCCTCATAGGCTCTCAAAGCAATCCTTTCTCTTCTCAATAGCAATTATGTCAGTTGGTAATTTTATTTGTGTGACTATTTGGTTAACATTTCTATCCCCCCTGGACTGTAAGCTCATGGGGACAGAGACTGTATGTTCTGCTTCCTTTTGACTCCTCAGTACCTAGCAAAATTTCTGGTCCATAGTAAGCCCTCAATACGTATTTGCTGAATAAATGGATAGTTGAATGACTGTATATGTAAATGAATGAAAGAATTACGATTTAGAGTCATCAAAAATATGTTTTTAAGTGGCCCAAAACAACTGTTGTAGAATTACTCCATTGTTTATTTAAAACCTGTCATAAAAGAGCTCCAGGTAATAATTAATATATCATGGTACTTAGGCCCTCAAATATATCCTGTGGTATTAATGTAGATTTGTAGCTGTAAGCCGTAGTTTCAAGAAGGCAAGTGCTATCTTCTGCTATAGTGAATCATGGTTTCAGTCTCTTAAGAGATCACCAGAAAGCAAGCTGGGATAATTTTATAGCTGTGAGCCTAATTTTATATCCCAATAAAAATATGATATTGCTTATTTGGAAAATTCAATAAGAATCTATTTGTAGGGGTGCCTGGCTGGCTCAGTTGGTAGAATATATGACTCTTGATCTTGGGGTCATGGGTTCAAGCCCCATGTTGGGCATAGAGCCTACTTGAAAAAAAATTTATTTTATTTTTTAATTTAATTTAATTTAATTTAATTTTATTTTATTTTATTTTATTTTATTTTATTATGTTATGTTAGTCACCATACAATACATCATTAGTTTTTGATGTGGTGATCCACGATTCATTGTTTTCGTATAACACCCAGTGCTCCATGCAGTACATGCCCTCCTTAATACCCATCACTGGGCTAACCCATCCCCCCAACCCCCTCCCCTGTAAAACCCTGTTTGTTTCTCAGAGTCCATAGTCTCTCATGGTTCATCTCTCCCTCCGATTTCCTCCCCTTCACTTTTCCCTTCCTTTTCCTAATGTCCTCCATGCTATTCCTTATGGGCTATTCCACAAATGGGAAAAAAAAATTATTTGCAGACTTAATAGTGTAAGGAACTTAAAAAATAATAATATAAGGAACTTTGTTGAGTTACAGGCTACCCATCTTTGTGAAAGTATAGCTCAAGACCAAACTCTCCTTGATAGTCTTTGTTTGAAGTGAGATAGGAATTCTGGAGTGGCATATGATTATCTTTGCAAAATGTCACACATATTGTCCCTATTTGGAAAGCTCAGAGCTGGACCTTATTGATAGTTTGCTTTGATCATTATAAGGATGTGGTTAAATGAATATCTGATGATAATAAAAGGTAACATTTACTGAGCGCCAACTCTGTGTCAGGCAATGTTCTAAGTGCTCATTTAATCCACATAACAATTCTGAGTTAAGTTGGGACTATCATTTTTCCTAGCTTATAGATGAGCAAACTGAAACACAGAGGTTATGTAACTTTCCTAAGATTACATCCCTAGGTACTCTGGCTGCAGAGTACCCACACTGCCCAATATGGTGCCCACTAGTTCATGTGGCTGTTGAGCACATAAAATGTGGTCAGTCAGAACTGAGATGTGCTATATGCTAGATTTTGAAGACTTAGTATGAAGCACATATATCTCATTAAGTTTTTCTATTGATTACATGTTGAAATGATATTTTAGATAGGGTTCATTAAGACATGATTAAAATTAGTTTCATTTATTTCTTGTTTTCATGTAGCTATGAGAAAAATTTTCAATTACATTCATGACTTATATTCTATTTCTATTGGACAGCATTGATCCATACTCTTAAACTGCGTTATACTGTCATTCCATCCAGTAGCAAGGCATTTCATTGCTAATGGTTGCATTTTGTATAGGACTATTAGCAATGCAAATGGATGTGATGAAGATTGTGGAAAGAAACAAAAGAGAAGTGGAGATGTCACCTGAAGTTATCGGCAGTAAAATCTCGAAACAGTGAGACAAGTTGGCTATTGTCTTCAGCACATATAGCTCTGTGGCACTATTTGTTGTATAGAATGCCTACTCATTTCTAGACTCTGTCCTGGTTCAAGCCTTTAATGGGCAGACACCAGCAACCAATTAACATCTTCCTTATTCCCTTATAGAAAATAAAAAACACAACATAACAAAACAAAACATTCCTCTTGATTTACCTTGGTGCCAGTCAACATAACATTTCCCTCTACCTAGACATGGCATTATTTCATAGATTTGTTCTTTTATTCCCAAGTCAGATGAAATCCTTGCCTTTGATGTTTTGAGGAAATATAGCCTCCTTCTCTCCCTTTTTGCAGATCCTAAGGAGCAATGGATGTGGGGACATGGAGGGAGGAAGAAAGAAACAAGAAGAAAGGGACTCCACATGAAGAGGAGGGGACCATGGTGGTCGTGGCCCAGGGTACAAAGAGGACAAACTCTCCTTGTCTCTCTATCCAGTAGCCACAACCCCCTATCACAATATGAGCTTTGCTCTCCTTTCCCCATTCACCATGCTCCTCACTACTTTGACTTGGAAGCCTCTTTCAGGATTTAAGTTTTAGTTGTTTTCATCTGAGTCTGCAAAGGGGCAGAGTAATTAGACAGAGGTTAGTCATACAGGAATAGAAAAGGGTGGACCACAAACAACATGGGTCCTGATGACGTCAGAAAAATTTCTTTTTAAGACTTAAAGAAATGTTTCAGAGTCACAAGATGAAATGGCGATGCCTGAAGACTCAGAACCCAAGATGTGAACATTGAGTCCCAGACTTGGGATTCTTTGGCTCTCTGAACAGGTTACTCTAAGGTACACCCTATGGGGCCTTCACTGGACAGTCATTGATCCCCTAAGAACACCATGCCCAGGCTAAAGTTCTTAAAGACATACTTAAGTATTTATTTTTCCTTTTGCCCTAGCAAGCTCTATGTGTTGACTCAGTAGGCAATGGATGTTAAGATCAGACCTACTTAAAAAAACAAAAATTAGAAACTGCTCCCAACATAATATAAAGTGAAATAAACAACAAATGGAAAATACAATAGTATAAACAACATTAGCCTGATTCAGTTTTTTAATGTGTGTATATATTTTACTGAGTCTTCATATATCACCCACTAGAATGTAATTCCATGAAGGCAGAGATTTTTGTCTAGTTTGTTCATTGCTGTATTACCATTACCTAGAAAATGCCTGGCCCCATAGCAAATACTCAAGATATTTGTCAAATGAATGAATAAATTAATATATAATAGGAAAAAGTGCTTCAAAATGTTAATGAGGTGGAGAGATTGTAGACGAACTGTATTTTTTCTTCCTAATATTTTGCATTTTCCAATTTTAAAACAACTATGAATTATAACTGGGACAAAATAAAGATTAAAAAGACTTGTGGATGATAAATTTTTAAGGCATATTCGTGTATTTATTTATTTATTTATTTATTTATTTATTTATTTTTTAAGATTTTATTTATTTATTTGACAGAGAGAAAGAGCACGAGAGAGGGAACACCAGCAGGGGGAGTGGGAGAGGGAGAAGCAGGCTTCCCGTGGAGCAGGGAGCCCGATGTGGGACTCGATCCCAGGACCCTGGGATCATGACCCGAGCGGAAGGCAGACGCTTAACGACTGAGCCACCCAGGCGCCCCATATTCGTGTATTTAAAATAATATAAAATTTTTAAAAGCGGGGGGCACCTGGCTGGCTCAGTCAGTAAAGCATGTGACTTTTGATCTCAGGATTGTGAGTTTGAGCCCCACACTGGGCATGGAAACTACTAAATAAATAAATAAATAAATAAAATAACATAGATATTGCCTCCTTTTTACTATATGTCCTGGGGCACCAATACATGCAGGCCAAACTAGAAGACATTCAGCATGGAGGCTGCATTTTAACTCAGGACCTACTGTCTATTGGGCACTGTGGACACAGAAGGCTGAAAATGATAGAGCCATTGACCTTAAAGCAGGTCATAGGAAAGAAAATCTGAAGGGGTGGTATAAAGCTTTAAAAAAAATCCTTGCAGGGGCACCTGGGTGGCTCAGTCGCTTAAGCATCTGCCTTCAGCTCAGGTCACGATCTCAGGGTCCTGGGATCAAGCCCCACATTGGGCTCCTTTCTCAGCGGGGAGCCTGCTTCTCCCTCTGCCTGCCGCTCTCTCTGTCTCTGACAAATAAATAAGTAAAATCTTTAAAAAACAATCCTTACAATTATATTAC